AAAGAAAAAGTATAGAATACACATTACACTGATAACACTGATGACCTCCAGGGTGGTGAACAGAATGAAGGGATTTGGTCACAGGAGTTCATCTGTAATGTTTCTCTCTTACATAAGTAATTAGTGAATTACTTATGTAATTACATAAAAATAAATCCAAAAGAAAGAATTATAAAAAGAGTAAAATTAAAATAAAGAATTTTAAAATGCTTAAAAAAAAAAAAGGAAGAAGGTTCCAGGACTGACACCAGCCTCTCACTGGCAGTGTCGTCCTCCACAAGCCGTACCCTGTGGACATCCGGATTATTTGAATTACTAAAACCAGAACCCACTCGTGCATTACTTGTGAAATTTAAAAACAAACAGATGAAAACACCCCAGCCGCAGGACCGATCACCAGCTGGACGACAACTGGTGGGGAGTGTTACCATGGCAGCCGCCGCGGCTGCAGGGTCAGCAGTGGCTGCAAACATGGAGAGGGGGTCGGTCCCATCCAGGACGCTGCTCAGCGGGTCCACCACGGAGCTGGAGGACGAGGAGGACGTGGAAGATGTGCTTCCCTTCCGGCTCACTTTCTTTGTCTTTGACTCCGTGACCTGCGGGGAAAATTTATGGAGGTCAAACAGAAATCGCCTATGACTTTTCCCAATGAAACACTCAAATGGGGTTTCCCTCATTCAGTTAGGTGAACCGACTGTTCCTCTGCTGCAGGGACGCTTATTTTTGTGACCAATTGACATGACTCAGAATCCCAGCTGTGGAGGAAGGGAAGGTGGGAGGCTAGGGTAAGGAAGGAAGAGACAGGGCCACTATGATTCAGAAGATGGTGATGTAACTGCATTCCTGCAGGGCCTTCTTACCCCAAGTGTGGTCCCTGGAAGCAGCATCCACGTCACCTAGGAGCTTATAAAAAATGTAGACTCTCGAGCCCTACCCCAGACCCATTGCATCAGAATTTGCATCTTGCAGCAATGGTCCAGACAGGGTCATGAACCAGGGTACATGAGATCCCAGGGTCACGGCACTCTGAAGACAGTCTCCATGGCTCTGCGTGGCCACCTCATCTCCACAAAGCAGTGACCGCCCAACTCCTCCCTTTCTGGAGAACTTCTTCCAATGCCATGTCCTGGTGTATGTGTTGAGGGG